ATAGAAACTTTTTTTTCAAGCATACCACGGTCAGAAGAATTTCGAGCAAAACACATATAAGTGCGGTACACGCGCCTTTAAGTTCGCTTTCCTTCAACGTTATCCATCGATGTTCCCCCTCCAGACCGGCGGAGCGACGGAGACAGCACCTGGATGCATATTGTTCCGTCCTTTAGAAGACGCGGACAACTCCTCTCACAGAACGCTGGGTCTATTTATATATAAGTCTATGGGTAGCATGCGGTAGCATGGAGGGGATGCGCACACAACCTCAGATCGTATACGTGTGCGCTCGAGCTTCGGGCGCGATCGCACACGTACACGATCTGAGGTTGTGTGCGCATCCCCTCCATGCTACCGCTGCTACCGCATGCTACCAAGTGTTCAGAATCTGGCATCTCTGAACCAAACCACTATATAAATTGTCAAATTTTCTTACACAACCAACTTGGCGCGAGGCACTACCGTGCTTCTCGATATGCACTTAGCATGAATCACTTTTCGTTTAATAACTATTATTTCAAAGGTATATACGCACACACATACATATATTACATATACATACATAAAATACATATATCATACAATTAACTTCATAGTCATACAAATCAATTTCATCTGTCATAACATATGTAAAAGCTTGGAAAATTGTAGAAAGTTTATTTTAAAATTGCGTTGCATTATGTGTTATGTACATAAGATTCTATGTTCAATTTTTCTTCTCTTGCGCTAGCTTCTTTTGATTAATAGCCTCTCTAAATTGACCCAATATAAGATTCTCTCTCTTCTGCCGTTCTTCCTTGCTAAACATCGCCAAGGCGCGCTTTTCATCTGCAGAATAAATCTGATTTTCTTTACGTATACGAACAGCTTCCATGCGACGATGTCTGTAAAAAAAAAGAATTATCATTATATGTCATCAGATTTCTGTACATTTAAGTTTTCATGCTGAATATTTGATTTGTTAGGTTCTACAATAAAGTCGTATGTCGCTGTCGGATTTCAGGCGCAAGTGTGTTGAGCTGCTCACTCGACTTTTGACGACAGCTCTCGATGACACGAGTCAGCTCAATATGCTTGCGTTCGACGTCCGATAGCGACTTATTGTAGAACAAAAGTTAGAAATATTTCAAATCTTACCTGCTGCCACTCATGACATAACCAACAGATTCATACGACGCTATCTCTTCAGATGTAAGACCGATTTCACCTCTTCTAGGTATGCGTTTTCCTTCAGCGACATAAGCAGCCATTGCCGCACCCTCGCCTGGTAACAGCGCTTTGCCAAAATCTTTTGCTGAAAGAGTTACATGTGGCTTTGGAGCTGGTCCAATCGCAGTATCATCTCCACTGTTGTCCGAATTAGAATCCTTTCTTGGTTTTGGTTTTTCAGTAACTGTGTTTTTTTCCACCCAGATCTCTTCCTCGCTGCTGTTGTTACTGCTGCTATCGTCAGAATTGTCACTGTCTATAGATTTCTTTAAATTTTTCTTTTGCTTTTTTTCTTTTCTCATTTCCTTTTTCATCTTTTTTTCTTTTTTCTTTTCTTTCTTTGCTTTTTTCTCCTTCTTATGTTTCTATATCACAGAGTTAACTGTTGTTACACAAATTGTTTAATAAGTATACATACATATATAAATATCACTGTACATACTTATATAAATATTATTGTATTGACATGTGGGAAATTAATTTTGTACCTTCTTTTTGGAACTACTACTGTGTCTCTTTCGTTTGTCTCTTGACACAATATCTTTGATCTTGTGTTTGCTGAAGTCTTCCTCCTCATCATCAGAACTACTGCAAATATGATCCAAATTTACAAATTCTAACCTCTTAAAAGCATTGGAATACAAATATTACTAATTATTATTTGCAATTTTTTTACATGGTCAACGATCTAGAAAGGAAAAATGTTATTAAATATACCAATTTAAAAAAGAATACTTACTATTCGATCTGTATAGGAGATTTACTCCAAGCCTCACGAACTCCACGTAATCCTATTAATTCTCTTTCGCGTCTACGCGCGTCCATCATTTTTTCGTTCATCATCTTGCGCTTTCTCGGTTGGGTTTGGTGCTCTTTTGGCTCAGTAGACCTATAAAGCTAGTCCATACGCCATTCTATGTCTTTTTGATAACAGGTTTAAAACCGTGGATTGGGTTCCTGACGCCAAGCCACGGAGTTGTGCATTTGTTTAAATTAAAGATAATAATAAAGAAAGTGGTGTAAAACACCGACAATTGTCCAAAAATATTCACTGCGCACATCCAACCGATATGGCTGATGCAATCCAACTTATCTTGCGCTTTCTCTTCTTTCAAGGCTGTGTTCAGTTAAGCAAGATGGAACGAACTAATGCAGGAAATGCAGGAAATACAGGAATTGGAACTAATGAAACTAATGAAA